ATCATGCCAGTGTGAAGCCCTCTTCATTAGAGCACACACACACACACACACACACACACTGGGGAACATGTCAGAGGAAGCTCACACTCTTCTGATGAAAACCAGCATTCAGGTGGCGTTTCAGAGGAAGAACCCAACTGTGCTGAGATGATCTGTAGCTGTCACCAGTGGCGGTGAAAATGGGAGGAGGACGATTTAATGTTAATAAAATTCACAATTCATTTCAGTTCATGTCTCAGAATGTGTATTTTTTGTTTGTAATTTCACAGTTGTAATATCATAACGTGAAAGCGTCGCTTTTCTATCGCGAATGTGCCGAATCTGCTGATGTAATTACAACCGCTAGGTGATATAGAAGGGGAGGGGGAGGCCGGGGGAGAGGGGAGCTCTCGTGCCTCCGTTGGTAAAAAATTAGCCAATCAGCATCGAGTGTTCTTACAATTAGTGTGCCTCCTCTATTTTAAAACCCACGAACCTCCACTGGCTGTCACACTTTCCTACACACACACACTTATCACAGAATATGAATCATCATCCAATACTCATGTCCCACTCTTTGTGTGATGTATCACTGCATATGTAATGTAATTTATGTGTAAAATAAAATATTTCCTCAAACAGTCACCTTCTCAGCATGGTGCAAATCTTTCATATCTGCTGTGAATCATCCTGAAGATGTCTGCTCTGCTCGATCTGCCAAAACAGGATATTAACAATTAAAGCAGCGCCGATACATCATAATTTCTCAACACCCTAAAATGCTGGTACTTGACGGACATTTATCACTATAAGAATGAAGATGAGAACTGCATGTGCAGCAATGATAAATTATTTGAGAGATCTGCGACGATAGCGTAAGCCTTGCTGTGTTCTGTAAAAACCGAAGGAAAGAAGATTAATGTCATACTGCTGCTCAAAAGAGCTTCAAAAACATTGTCTGAATAAGGATTAAGGTGAAACCTTCCCAACTTTATCGGTCCATCTGTGTGGAACAGCATGCACTCGGCTCCTGCGGTTATTACATTTGATTTTGTCAGAGAGATGGGCCACAAAACTGTTCAGGGCAGGCCATTCAAGAAATGGACGGTTTGTTGGCACTGCTGCTAAATGACCTTAGCAGAGAGATTGAGCTATTATACTTTTAATGACCACTGCAGGAAATGTTCCCTTAATCCTGTCTGATTGCTGAAGTGATAAATTTCCACTTCCAGCAGGTTTAAAGCTAATGACCATTATGGACATACCTGATAATTAACTTCACAATAATCACATCCTGCTGCCATTTCCTCTTCCGTCCCGTCTGTCAGAGAGCACCATGATGGATGTAACTGTAAGGTATATTAGCATTTGTACACATGATCCAAACAATGAAATGGACAGAAACAATACGTTATACACACATACAGCAAACTTGATAAAAGATTATATTGTGATGTGATAAGCTTTTTCACCTCTTAACACTGTCCATAATGCACACTATTAATCAAATGTTTGGGGTCATTAAGATTTTTGGTAACACTTTCTATGAAGCTGTATTTATAATACATTATAAGGGTATACTTAAGGCATTATAATGAATGCATAATGCATTATAAAAAAACGTATAATATGTTATATCAACTCATGAATAATCATAACAACAGTTATAATACATCATAATACTTACGTATTTGTGGTTATAAGTTTAAGAGTAGGGATGCACGATATATCGGCCACCATAAGCAAATGTGTCATATTACACATTCATCTGATCTGATCTCTGATCTTATGGCCATTTGAGAGAATTTTTTTTTATTATTATTATTATTATTACTACTACTCATAAGTGGTCTTTGACCGCTTTAAGTAAAGTAGCATAAGAAAAATGGCAAGATATGAGACTTATAATACATTATAACTATGAGAAATACAATCCATTGTAAAAGTGGATGCAACGTGTTCATTGTGTTATAAATCATCATACTCTTAAAAGCTATAACCACAAATAAGTAAATATTATAATATATTAAAACTGTTCTTATGAATATTCATGAGAAGATACAACATATTGTAAGTTTTTTTATAATGCATTATGCATTCATTATAATGCCTTAACATTCATTTGATAAATGCTGTAAAAAAAAGTAACATTGTAAAATATTATTACAATTTAAAATAAAATTTCTATTTTAATATATTTGAAAAAGTAATTTATTCTTGTGATGGCAAAGCTGAATTTTCATTCGCCATTACTCCAGTCGTCAGTGTCACATGATCCTTCACAAATCATTCTAACATGCTGATTTGGTGCTCAAGAAACATTTCTTAAATATTATCAAGGTTGAAAACAGTTGTGCTGCTTAATATTTTTTTTTTTTTCAGGATTAATTTTATCAAGATTTTTTTTCAGTCCTTGCTAAATGGGTGTTTAAAAAATAATCTTTAAAAACTAAATTTTGCACAGTAGTGTATATTAGTGACAGAGCACAACCATTCTCAGCATAGACAATAATAATGTTCCTTGAGCACCAAATCAGCATATTAGAATGATTTGCATGTGACACTGATGACTGGAGTAACGGCTGCTGAAAATTCAACTTTGCCATCACAAAAATAAATTACATTTTAAAATATATTCAAATAGAAAGCAATATTGCTGCTTTTACCGTTTCTGATCAAATAAACACAGCCTTAGTAAGCATTAAAGATTTTTTTTCAAACACATAACTTTTGCTGGCCCCAAAATTTTAGTGTAAGTGGTCTGTTTCTGCTATAATGTCTCAGACTGAACAAATATAAGACTGAACACAAAAGGAATGCGGTGAGACTGTCATGTTTGAGCTTTAATAACAGTAACTTTACCTCAGTCTTCAAATGAAAATGCTGCAAGAAACTCATGAACTCAGGATCACATACACACTAAACTGCCCTCTGTCTAACCAGACGGATGAAACTAATCTTCTCACACCGACTTCTCCTCCAGTTCAGTAGGAGTCTCCTCAAGAGCCACTAGAAAGATTCCTGAACACGCTCGTATCGCAGGATGAGAGAGACGGCAGTGGAGGATGAGTGAGGTTACCGTTTCATCTGGCTCAGTAAGCCCGAACTAATTTGAGGCCTGAGTGGAGAGGGCACTTGTGTGCAGGCCTGATGAAAGCTCTTCAGAGGAGAGAAAAGAGTGGAGGATTGTATCAAATCGCTGGTCGCTCTCATAGAGAAGCCCTTCTCTCTCTCCCTCTCTCGACGGAGCCTCTTCTCTCTCTCTCTCTTCCTCTTCAGCGGTGCCACTCAACAGGATAGTCCTTTAATCTCTACCTAGTCAGCTGCTCCCTTATTAAGAGTGAAACTAGGAAGAAACAAGAAAAAGAGAAAATAAAAACACACCTTGTCTATGTACAGCCTTTTCACATCAGAGCAAAAGAAATGAAAGAGATGAGAGAGCGAGAGCAGAACGAAAGCCTGCAGGAAAATCAGTATGTTGGGATTTGGAGTGCATCTCTCCCTCTCCTTCCTCCTCTCAGCACTTTTTCTGAGGAGAACATCAAACTCAGGGGCTACCAGCTAAGAAAGGTAAGCCGAAGGACCGAAGGAGAAAACAGAAAGCAACCAAAGGAGAGAAAAAAAAGAACCTTCTTCACAAATGCTAAAACAGCATTCACAGGAACTGAATTAGCTCTGGGTTTGAGGTTCTGAAAGGGCTTCTGGACAGGGAGAATAATGCAGACACCTGACTCGCCAAGCAGGGAAACAGAGCGGGTCAGTTCATCGTCTGAGGGAGACAATCAAAATCTGCAGCGATTAGTGAAAATCAATAACTCTCGTTTGATCGATCTATTGCCATTTAACAGGCTGGTACACCAGTCCAGAGCTGAATCATGAAAACTGACACTCCTTTGCCAACAGCAAGACCAACTTTATCATCCAGTCTGGTGTATTTAGACAGGAGTGCACACATTAGCAGTAAAGACTGCACTCATGCTAATGTGAAATAGAGTTCAAAATCTGTTTGTGAGAGATCGTAAGGTGTAAGAAAGGCATAACAGAGGCTTCAGCACTTCTCTGACAGCTATGATGGAAGTGGCATCATTTAGATGCAAGTTTCTTTTTTCCATTTTCAGCAAAGGCCCGTTCATACCAAGGACGAGGACTAGATCGTTTTAACAATCATTCCAATTCTATGTCAATTGCAAAGTCCACACCACAGCTATAAATATAACACAAGAGGAACAATATCATTGGAATCTGTGGCCATATAAAGCACTACACAGTTGGCAATTTGTATGCACAGTTTGACACATTTTACCACATTTAAATGTATATATTTTTTAGATTAGATTTCCCTCTAAAACCAGTGTAGACAATGCATTAAAAAAAGTCCACAGATTTCATCTGGGCTTTTCAGTCTCCAACACCAGTCCTTTTTCTCAAAATCAAAATAAGCATTAAGTTCAACACATTCCCCTCTTTCCTTCAACAATACAGGTTATGTTCAATGCCAAAAGAAAATAACTCAGTTCACCCTGTAAGGTTCTCACTTTTTTCAAAACTCCCATCAGTGCCAAGTAGAAATGGCACCTATAGATTTGAGTAGATACATGGTGTAGCCTGTGCTGTTGTGGGCAAACATTAATAGCAAAGTTCATGGGCAGAGGAAGCGTAAGAAAGTTTCATTTCTCTAAATTACAGTCATTTTACTTGTAAATGTGGGAGAAGGTGAGAGACAGACATTTACAGCAATCACACGCTTAATGAAACCAGCTCAAACCATCAGAATAAATCGAATGACACAAACGCACTTCCTGGCTGATAATCCACTTGAGGTTAGGAAATCGAAAGATTGTGTTGTGTGTCACCAGCTGTGGCTGGGGGACCACAGGGCATATTTGAGTCAGCTGGGTCTGTGGTTGCAACAGATAGCTGAGGCAGCAAAAACGGTCTCTTTTACACACACACACACACACACACACAGACACACACAGACACAGACACAGACACACACACACACACACAGTCAGCCTTTCAGCAGCTTGACACCATGTGGGAACATCTAGATAACATTTCCAGCGTTCCTGGCCTCTGTCATTAGTCTACATACTTAAGACATATGGGGGTTAATGGGACACACACCCAGCCTGTGATTCAAATCCAACAATAGTGCTCTCAATTAAACCAACATTCATGACACGTTTTATGAAAAAAAAAAAAAAAGTTTATTGAATTAACAACTGTACATGATCAGTGCTGACACAGTTTGCTACATACTTTGGTGTGAATTTGCGAGATTGTGAAAGGCAGGCGGGGCAGGTTT